AAAAAAAAAAAAAAAAAAAAAAAAAAAAAAAAAAAAAAAAAAAAAAAAAAAAAAAAAAAAAAAAAAAAAAAAAAAAAAAAAAAAAAAAGGCAGGATAGATCGTTGTAATTGAAACAAATGCTTGATGTTACCGGGAGAGTAAACTACTTGGATCTGATTAATTTATCGTTTCTGTATGCTTTATTTATGGCTTATAAATGTGTATTCTGGTAGCGACCGGCCACATCGCCGCAAACTCCATTAAAGTGTTATTGGCGGTTTTCTTCCCGCTGCACATCTCTGTTCCGCCGGGACTCGCCCGTCGCCGCCGCCGCCGCCCCGACGGGACCCCCGCCCTGCCCGCCTGGGATCTCCCACATCCCGGGCTGGGATCTCCGCAATCCCCGGGCGGGACCTCCGACATCCCGGGCTGGGATCTCTGCCTTCCCCTGCCGGGATCTCCGACATCCCGGGCTGGGATCTCTGCCTTCCCCTGCCGGGATCTCTAGCATCCCCGGCTGGGATCTCTGCCGTCCCCGCCGGCGCCCCCGACATCTCCACCGGGACCGCTCCATTCCTTCCAGGACCCCCGGCATCTCTGCCGGGATCCCTCCAACCCTTCCGGGACTCCCGACCACCTCCGCCGGGACCTCTCCGTTCCCGGCTGGGATGTCTGACATCATTGCCGGGATCGCTCCATCCCTTCCAGGATTCCTGACGGCTCTGCCGGGACCCCTTAAACCTCCTTCGAGACCGACCCATCCTTGCCTGGGACCCCTCAATCCTTTCCAGAAGCTCCCCTATCCCTTCCAGAACCCCTCCATCCCTGCCAGGACCCCACCGTTCCCAGGCAGGGGAAGCCCGTGCCCCCCTGCCAAGCCCGGAGGTGGGAAGTGGAGACCCCCCCGGGAATGGGGGGATTCCCAAAGCTCACTTACGGGACCCTGGAGGAATCATCTCAACCGGGCAGTGTTATCTGGAGGGGATTTGGGGCTCGCAGGGGCAGCGCATCCCTGCCCTTCCCGGGACAGGATCCCGGCTTATCCGCCGGGGGGATAAAGCGGCGGCGAAAAACCCGAAGAGCTTTGTTTTAACCACCGTAAACATGTTTATTTGAAGCACCTCCCGAGCTCTCCGAGCCTCTGGCCCCACCGCCGGGACCCTCCGGTGCCCACCGACACCCCCGGCCACGCAGAAACGCTCATTCCTTTCCCCTCTCCCCCGTTCTTCCCAACCACTTGTTGTTTTTCCCACGCGTTTACGGCACTCATAGATGTTGCTTTCCGAAATAACATTCAAATCCTTCTTAAAATTCCGCATTGTCCGCGGGAAGAGAAAAGGGGAGAAAGGGAGAGGTTGGAGGGGGGGCGGGAGAGGAGGAGGGAGAGAGGCTTGGGGCGGGGGGGCGGGGGGGGGAACCCTCCCAAAAACAAAACCGGGCTCCAGGCTGCAATGTGTCGGTCTCTATACGCCAAGGACACACACGTTGTGAACCGGGGCATGCAATGTGTTTCATTAGCACATAAAAGGCTCCCGCGGGGACGGGGCACGGGCGCGGGGGTGCCGCCGCTTTGGGGACACGGACCCCCCCCCCGCCCCTGCCCCTGCCCCCGCCTCCGGCCGCGGCCCGGCCGCGTCCCGCTCCGATCCCCGCTCCACCACCGCCGCTGGCCTCCGCTTTTTCTTCCCCCCTCCCTTTAATTTTTCTCCCCACTTTATTTTTTTTCTCCTCTCTTATTTTTTTTTCTTACCCCTTTTACTTCCCCTCCCCTTTTATTTTACCCGATTTTTCTTTATTTCCCCCTACTTTTCTGTATTTTCCTATTCTCCCCCCCTTTTTTTTTCTCCCCTCCTTTCCATTTTCTCCCTTCTACTTCTCCCCTTTATTTTCTCTTGCCCCTTTTATTTCTCCCCCCCTTTTATTTTTTCTCCCCCTTATATTTTTCCTCCCGTCCTTTTATTTCTCCTCCCTTTCATTTTTCTTCCCCTTTCATTTCCGCCCCCTTATATTTTTCTCCCTGTTAATTCCCCCCTCTTTTTATTCCCCTCCTTTTATTTTTCACCCCACTTCTACTTTCCACCCCTTTTCCCCCTCCTTCTCCTATTTTTCTCCTCCCTTTATTTTTCTCCCCTTCCTTCATCTCCCCTTATTTTTCCTACCTCCCTTTTATTCCCCCCCCTTCTTTTATTTCCCCTCCTTTACCTTTTCTCCCTCCTTTTATTTTCCCCCTCCTTTCATTTCCTCCCTCCTTTCCTCCTCCTGTTATTTCCACCTTTCTTTGTCATTTTTCCTTTCCCCTTCCTTTGCCCCGTTTCACTCCGAAACGCAAGGATGACGATTTGAGGGTAAAATGGCCCCAAAAAAAAAAATGAAAAGAGAAAGAAAGAAACAAACAAAAAAAATCCACCAGCTAGACGTTATTTCTTTTTCTTTCCCCCCCTCTTGGCAGTTTTTCCCCCCCCCTCCCCACACAACCTGCCCGCCCCCAACCTTCCAGCAAGTGCATTTTGCTCCTGCCTGGTTAAGCAACCGTGATCTGTGAATAAACAAAGTCAGTAAACAAAAAAAAAAAAAAAAAAAAAAAAAAAAAAAAAAAAAAAAAAAAAAAAAAAAAAGAGGGAAAAAAAAAAAAAAAAAGACGAAGGGGGGTGTGTGGAATCTAGATCCAAATTCCAGGAGGGTAAACTTTCCCCACCACGTCATACTTCAGCAAATTTACACAGATATTATATTGCGTCCCCTTTCCTTCCCCCCCCCCCTCTCCTTTTGAGCCATTGTGCTTAACTGAATTTTATAAAGCTGATCGATATCTTGGTAAAATATTCATTTTTAAACTAGCGGGCAGCGAAATCTTTGCTTTGTGCTAAAGTCAACAGTCGCAGAGTTTCAGCTCCAATAAATGCCGGGATGCTCCCAGCTCCCGCAGAGCCGGGCCGGCGGCCGGGGCGCAGGTAGGGGACACCCGCCGCTCCTTCTGCTCCTTCTCCTTCGCCTTCAGCTCCCTCCTTCTGCTTCTTTTCCAGCCCTCCCTCCTCCTCCTCCTCTTCCCCAGCTCGCCTTGGAGCCGGCGGGGGAGAGGGAAGCGGCCCAGAGGCCGGGGATGCGGGGGGATGGATGGAGGGATGGATGGATGGATGGATGGAGGGATGGATGGAGGGTGGATGGAGGATGGATGGATGGATGGATGGAGGGTGGATGGAGGGATGGCTGGAGGGATGGATGGAGGGTGGATGGAGGATGGATGGAAGGATGGCTGGAGGATGGCTGGAGGGCTGCAGGGAAGGATGGAGGAATCCAGGGCTGTTTCCCACCGCCTCGCCCCGCATTTTGGGGAATCCCTCTGCCAGCGCTGGAGCCGGCGGGGAGCAGGGGAGGGGAGCAAAACGGGGGGTGATTTGGGGGTGTGGGGGCAGCCCGGGTGGGAACGGGGTGCGGCCGGGGCCGGGCCGCCTCGGGGCCCCGATTCTGCCCGTTTTAACCCCAAAGTCCCTCGCTGCGGGGGGGCAGTGGTTGCGGCTCGGGTGGGAGAGGGACGGGGCCGTGCGGGGCCGGCTCCCGCCTCCTCCCGCTCCTCCCAGCCGGGCTGCGGGGCTTTACTTCCACATTTTCGGGTTTATTTTGGTTTTCGCCGATTCCCCCTTTTCCCCCCCGCATTTTTCCTCCCGGTCTCCGTGCCGATCTTTTGTTCCGGGCTGGGAGCAGCCATGCCGTGTCCGCCCCACGGAAAGGGGTTTCTCCCGTGGCCGGGACACCGGGAAGCGCCGGTCCCGGTGCCGGTGTCGATCCCGTGGGCGGGTCGCGGCTGAGCACCCGCGTGAGCCAAAAAATCAGGGATAAGATTATTTCCCAGCCGTGTTTCCCGGGAAAACCGGGAGTTTCAGAGCAGCCGGCGGCCCTTCACGGGATTCACTGGCACCGGGCACGGACACGAGTGGCACGGCCCACGAGGGGATGGAGAGGGGTGGCCGCCCCGGGGTGCGGGGGGTGTCGGGCACGAGGAGAGGGCACAGCTCGGGCAGTGTCCGTGTCCGTGTCCGTGTCCCCGCGCTGCTGTGCCAGGTGACATCGCCCCGGCGCTAATGGGCTCTCAATAATTCATCGAAAGCGGCCCCGCGCCAGCCCAATTACTTGTCATTACACGCCTGTCGCCCGCGCTGGGAGGGGGACACGAGTGGGAAGGGGTCATCCTGCCTTCCCTCCCGGGTGCCCGGCCCCTCACCCGCTCCCCACGCTCCTGCCTTTCCACCCGCGGGCCCCGGGCTGGTTTTCCTCCTTTTCCCTCCGCCGATCACCCCCAGGATTGTCTCCAGCCCCCCGGATTGCTTTGCCCCGGCTCCCGGCGGGGCCGAGCGCCCGGCTCCGTTTTCCCGTTAATTCCCCTCAAATCCTGAATTAGAGGTGTGTGTGGTTTTTTTTTTTTATTTTTGGAGGAGCGGGTGGGATCGGCTGGGATTTGGGAAAGCTGCGCAGGGAGGCTGCGGGCCCTGAGCCCCCAAAATCAGCCCCTCTCCAGCCGCTTCCCTTCCCTCCGTTTCTCCATCTTTTTCCTTCCTTTTATTTTATTTTATTTTCCCCTGACTTTTTCCTCCAGAAATGGGGAAAAAGACACTGTTTTTCCTTGCTGTTTTTCCTTTTAATTATCCGGGCCCCTAATGACATGCGGCGATGGCTCCAAAGACATCAAAGCGCAGAGAGGATGGCACAGGACGGGGAAGGAGGGTTGGGTTCCCAGCGCCCCCCAAACCTTTCCCCGCGGGATGAGCGCGGTGCTGGAAGCAGCCGGCCCTGCCTGCCCTGCCCGCGCCGGCAGCGTCGGAGGCAAAAAGTGCATTTATTGGCAATCTTAAAAAAAAAAAAAAACAACCGGACAACTCGGGGGTGAGATGAGACTAATTATTAGTGGTTCTAAAAAGAGCTGGAACACCCAAGTAGGGCTTAACCCGTCTCCTGGGAAACTGATGGAGACCTATTTTACAAGCTGTAATTCTGCTTTAGACTAGCGCAGGCTCAAGGCAGTTCACACTATTCCCTTTCTTCCAGAAATAGTCCTAATCCTATATTTCTGCCGGGGAAAGTCCGCTTCGGCTCCGCGCTAGACTAATCCAGAAACCACATAAAATCAGGTAGGGGAGAGGATGGAAAAGGGGAGGAGGAAATAAAAAGGTTTGAAGTTTGTTCCCTCTGCCCTGCGTAACCTTCAGGAGAGTAAATATTACAGGGTGATGCCGAATCCGCCGGCTCCGTATTTCTGGGGCAGAGAAACCCGGGATTGCGGGGCCGGGGGATGCGGGAAGAGCCAGAGGAGCTCGGAGGGAATTTTTTTGCTCTCTCGCTGAGGTGATTTTTCGGGGTCCCGCAGTGGTGAGAGAAATATTTATATATTCCCGATGGAAGAGAGGAAAGGGCGGACGGGGGTGGGAAAGGTGGATTTGGTAGTAGTTGGGTTTTATTGGGGAAAAGAAAGGAAATAAAATAAAGCAAAACAAACCAAACAAAAAAAAAAAAGAAAAGGAAAAAAGAGAAAAAAAGAGGAAAAAAAAGAAAAAAAAGAAAACGAAGAGAGAGAGGAAATTATAAAAAATAAAATAAGAAAAAAAAAAGAAAAAATCAAGGAAAATAAAAAATAAGGGAAAAAACGAAAAAAGAAAAAGACGAAAAGAAAAAGAAGAAAAAATAAAAGGAAGCAATAAAGATAGGGGAAAAAAGGGGAAAAGGAAAAGAAAATAAAAAATATTCCCATAGTCCCCGCAATTGAGTTTTCCCAAAAAAATATCCTGTAAGGAGCTGCGTTCTGTAGAACACCCCGAAAATCGCGAGATGGCTCCAGAACATGGGGACAGGTGTTTTTGCCCCCCTCCCCTGCCGTGCACCTGAGCAGCTGGGCCAGCGGGAGGGGTGGAATCCACCCGGGAAACGGGAATGTGAGGACGGGGAAAAGCTGCCTCGAGCCCGGGATGGTGGTTTTTGTGTGTGTGTGTGTGTGTGAGTTGGATGGAGGGATGGATGGAGGGATGCAGGGAGGGATGCAGCGTGCAGGGAGTGATGGATGCAGGGATGCCGGTGTGGATGGATGGATGGATGGATGGATGGATGGATGGATGGATGGATGGATGGAAGGACAGCGGTCCTGGAGCCCTGCAGGGCCTGGCCCCACCCGGGGGGGCTGCTCGGCCGGGCCGTTCTGTTTGCAGGGACAGCCGGGTGTGAAATGGCAGGGAAGGGAAAGGAAAAAAATTAGGGGGGAAAAAGGAAAAGAAAAAGTTTCTGGAAAGCTGCCGCTGTGGGGGGAGCAGGGCAAGGACGGGCTCTGGTCCCTCAGGGTGCCACCGGTTCGCTTTTCCTCTTTCCCTTCCTTTCCTTCCCTTCCTTTCCATTCTTCTCCTTTCCTTTCCAATTTTTTTTTTCCATTTTCCCCCTTTATTTTCCTTCCTTTCCTTTTAATTCCCTCTCCCTCTTTTCCCATTTCTTTTCTTCACTCTTCCTTCCTTCACCCCTTTTCATTTCCTTCCCCCCTTTCTATTTCCTTATTTTTCTTTCTTTCCTTATAACTTCTTTCCCATTTTCCTCATTTCTTTTCCTTACTTTTCCTTTCCTTTTTTTTTTATTTTCTTTTCTTTCCCCCTTTCTTTCCACTCCCCCTTTTCTCTTGTTTTTTTCTTTTATCCTATTCTTACCCTTTTTTTTTTTTTATTTCTTTCCCCTCTCACTTTCTTTCTCTTTTTTCTCCCCCTTTTTCCCCTCCTTTACTTCTCCCCCCATTCTTTCCCTCCTATCACTTTCTTCCCCCTTTTCCCTTTCTATCCATTCCCCCCTTTCTTTCTTTTTCCCACCACCACCACCACCACCACCTTCCTCACATCCCACCCCACTCCCTCTCCACCTGCTCCGTTTCCCCCAGACCACGAAGCCCTTTTCCGGGGGGAATGTGGGAAAGGCAGGGAGCAGCGGGGTGAGGCTGTGGGCAGGGTCCCTCCTGCTGCTCCCACCTGCCAGGGGCTGGCTGGGAATCCTTGTCACTCCACAGATTCCTGCAGCCACATCCTCCTGGCTGCTGGGAGCTCCCCACCTGTCCGAGCAAGGCCGGACAAGGAGCTCACCCTGCCTGGGGAAGGAGCAGCTTTCCACAGGGTTTTCTCCCACCAGCATTACAAGGAATGATCCTTATCCCTGCTGGAAAACAGCTCCCAAGAGCCACAGCCCGGAGGAGTGGAAACGTGGGGATTTTATTTCCCGCCCCGGTTCTGAAGGCAGCGACACTGAGGGATTTGGGAGACCTTGGAATGCTTTGCCTGTCCCTGCCAGCCTCCTGCTCGCCTGCCTGATCCCACACTGCCCTTCCCTCTCCTGTATTTATTTAACTAATGGACAAGGAGTCGGTGTCAGGGGGAGCTGGGACAAATTGGGCTTCGCCCGTGCGCTGCTGCCGTGTCCTCATCCCTATTAAAGGCAAAGATTCCCATCTCTGATTGCCTCTTTGTGTCTGTACTCGTGAGCGATACCTGGGTCACGCTCCAGTAATTCCTGACTGGAATGGGGAGAAGCCTTAGCCTGGTCTGGAGGGAGCTGCTCGGCAGGGATGGATCCCTCTAGGCTTCATGGAAAGGGGGGAAAAAAAATTGCTAACAGCACCTCGAGAAAGTTGAGTTAATCAATTTGTGCATCAATTTGTGGGATGCATGGGGGTGTGTTGTTTTTTTTTTCCAAGACCAAGCACAGGAAAGGCTTCGGAGAGGAGGGAAAACTCCGGCAGCCAAAAATCCCCCAAAACTGGGTGGTGGTTAACACCCCTTCCTATGCCAAAGCTTTCCTGAGATGCCCCACCTTGCAGCTTGTTGTGGATGCTTGGATCCACGGTGGGAAGAAGACAGGAGTCTCATGGGAAAGGGTGGATTTGTGGACGCACGATCCCATTTTTGCACCACCCTGAGCCAATGCCTGGGACAGTTTGGGGGGGCACAAACCCAGCAGGGAAGCAGTGGGAAGAGGGGACAGAAGAGGGGGTGGATTTGCTTCCAAAGGGGCTTCCAGGACTTTCTGCCGCCCCCGGGTGCGATCGGAGCCATCATTAGCAAACCCATAAAAGCGCTGCAGATGTCGAGCGCGTTCCTCGGGAGCATCCTGACCAACCCTCCGGTTTGGAAAGCCACCAGCTCACCCCCTGCTTTTCTCTTTGTTTCATCTGCTTCCCCACCTTCCTCCCCCACCACTTCCCTGGGTGGATTTTTAGGGGGAAAAGAAGGGGGAAAGGCTGGGAAGGTCCTTTAGCGTAAGGAGAGGCAAAAACAGCCTGGAGAAATTCCTATGTCCAGCACGTGGATCTGTGGGGAGACCCTCAAAGGAATAAACCCAGAGGGAGGCAGGTGCTTCCCCTGGCACAAGGATATGAGGAGAAGGAGGAGGAGGAGGAGAAGGAATTCATCAGCTGGGGTGACAGGAGCTGCCAAAACGGGGTGGGGGTTTCCGCAGAAATAAAAAACCCAGGAGAGGGGTTGGATCTCCTGAAGTGCCTCTTAACCTTTTCCATATCCTGTTACTACATGGAAAATAAACCCCACGAGGAGCCTCTGCCTCTTCACCCAAGCAAGAAAACAAGGGAAAAAAGAGAGAGGATGGTTATCCAGCTCTGCAGGGTGTTGGGATCCATGAAAAGGAGAAGGGGGAGCTGAAGGGATCAGTCACCCAAACTGTGAGGAAAGGACAGGACCAGGCTCTGGCTTGGAACGTGGATGGGGCAGGTACTTTGCCTGTTTTACCACAGCAGAATCCTTCCCTCAGCTGGAGCTGGGGATATTTGGGATCAGGAATGGCTCCTGCTGGGGGCAGGTGGGGGCTCAGAGTCATCTCAGGGTGCAAGAGGCCGATGGGATGATCTTGGTGTTCGCAGGCAGGGCCATGAGGGATGGAGCAAGGGGGTTGGCACAGAGCAGGGCTGGGGATGCAGCAGGGTTTGGGATGTGGCAGGGTTTGTGATACAGCAGGGTTTGGGATGCAGCAGGGTTTGGGATGCAGCGCAATTTGGGATATATAATGGGGTTTGGAGTATAACAGGGTTTGGGATGCAGCAGGGTTTGGGATGCAGCAGGGTTTGGGATAC